AGCAGAGGTTGCAGTAGTATTAGCAGTAGTAATGGCAGTAGTAATAGTAGAGGTTGCAGTAGTAGTAGCAGTAGTAATAGCAGGGGTAAGAGCAGAGGTTGCAGTAGTATTAGCAGTAGTAATAGCAGAGGTTGCAGTAGTAATAGCAGGGGTAATAGCAGAGGTTGCAGTAGTAGTAGCAGTAGTAATGGCAGTAGTAATAGTAGAGGTTGCAGTAGCAGTAGCAGGGGTAAGAGCAGAGGTTGCAGTAGTATCAGCAGTAGTAATAGCAGTAGTAATAGCAGAGGTTGCAGTAGTAGTAGCAGTAGTAATAGCAGAGGTTTCAGTAGTAGTAGCAGGGGTAAGAGCAGAGGTTGCAGTAGTATCAGCAGTAGTAATAGCAGTAGTAATAGCAGAGGTTGCAGTAGTAGTAGCAGGGGTAAGAGCAGAGGTTGCAGTAGTATTAGCAGTAGTAATAGCAGTAGTAACAGCAGAGGTTGCAGTAGTACCAGCAGACATAATATCAGCAGCAGTAATAGCCCATCTATGGAACTTGGCTAGTATGTGTTAAAAGGCTAATGACCAAGGAACTTGAAACTACGCGTTGAAGCCCTACAGCCTCCTGATTATTTACTGTCAATGTATACTAAACCAATGATGGGAAAACTGTTCACGAATGTAAAAAAACGTGGTTTATTTTTTAGTAAAAGGCCATCAGGAGAAAATCATTACAACTTATAATTTCTTAGTTTGCTAACAGCTACTGCATTATTTATCCCATTCTATGATTTATAGGGCAATTACATATTTTGAATGTTGTAAAAAGTTAAATACATATATTTGTGCATTGAACACCAATCACAATTAGATACAAACAAGGAAAGTTTTTGTGCCACATTTATTCTGCGAAGTACTAACAAGACACAATAAAAACTGTAATCGTGATGAAGTTTTTTAAATTAGCATTATTGAATGTGTAATTATAAAGATTTTAAATTAGCATTATAAAATGCACAGAAGTGCAGCGCTTTCACGCACTTTTGTTGTATTTGAACGCAGTAATAAATTATGTATTAATTTGCCTGCAAGCGCGAATAATTGTATCTCATCAATCTAATTTTCTACGGTCGGTGCCTCCTTACCTCTGTAGAACATCGATTTTATAACAATAATGTACTTTTTGAATATCGATTAAAAATTACATAGAAAGCGTGAGGTCTTCTAACTCCGAACGAAAACGTCTCCACCACACCGTTCGCGATCCCTACACCTCAAGTCCCAAATGAAGCACGATGCGTTGATAGAGTCAATGAGAAAACGCCTTATTAGTGATTAAATTCCGACAAGATTCAAAGAAGGTGGTTTCTACTGCAAAATCGTCACAGGGTTTTTATGTTTATTTAGGGCATTCTTAGCTTGTGTTCCGTAGAAAGAAAAGAGGGCACAAATCTGGGTTCTTTTCGCAGTTCTCACGATTTAAAAGTGAATTTTGACTATATCGTGCGTAGTTTCTACGCTGATTGAAAAGACTCGCATTCCGAACGGTAGTTCAGTTCTTATGAATGTTTGAAACACTACCGAGCTCGAGCGAGCCTCTTGGTCGCTGGTTGAGGAAGCGCGTTGCCACCTGTTCACGTGATTTCAAGCCGCCTGTGACGTGTTTTCCGGCGTGGGCGAGACGATTGGTTTTCCGGGAGCGCAGGGACTAACTGTTCGCTTCTGGGCGAACCGTCATCTCATACCGTAGTGGAACATCAAAGTGCCAGAACTGCAACGTGTCGCTAGCTGCCTACAACCTACAAAGTCGGTAATACTCCCCTTTGTCTTAGCTTTGGTTGTGAAAACGTTGCCTTTTCACGTTTATTAAAGACTGTGGTTTGTAGTGCGCCATCAAAGCTTCTATTAACGCCACAGAGCTCATCGCACTGGGGTTTGCGAGGACGAGTAAGTATTTCAACAAGACTTATGCTGTAAGCACAAACAAAAAAAATGACGCTTTCTTTTTCTCAGGAATTGCATTGGCAGACATTATGAGCTTGACGCAGTCATCGTGTCCCGCTGTGCGTCGCCCGGACCGTTTGGGTCTGTTGAAGACCAGCTACTAAGATACAATGACTACAAGAAACGGAGCTTCATTTTCTATGATTGATTACATTTTCAAAAATGACATCACCTCCCTTTCAGTGACAGACGCTCACACCACAAGCACACTCTGATGACTTTACTACAGTCATGCTCACAGCACTCTTGCATCTTAGGCGGCGTTTGCAAATCCTTCACTCTTGCGGTAACGGCGCCGGTTTAATTCCTGGGGAGCTGTCTGCGTGGAGTTTGTATGTCCTTCCCGTGTTCACATGGGTTTGCTCAGGGTGCGTTCCTTCCACAGTCCAAAGACATGCTGGCAGCTCAATAGGCTTCTGCGAAATCAAGGCTCTGGCGTGCGTGGCAATGTCTGTCTGTGTGGGCCCTGTGACGGGCTCGTGTCTCCTGCCTTGTGCCCGTTGCTTGCCGGTATAGGCTCTGGCTCCCCCACGGCCCTTCATTGGCTAATGCACTTAGGAAATGGATGGATAATGTATCTCTCACAGTTAGTATTAGCTAATTGCAGCAAGCTAATACTCGACATAATTTGCTGAGATATGGGGAAGGTTCAAAGGGCAAAGGTCATATGAAGGTCTTTGACCTTTGTTGGTCCAGCCTTGGTGGCCCTAGCCAGAGTTGGTGAAATCAAGTGGCTTAAACTGCGATTTTAAGTGGGCAGTTAAAATCGAATTGATCTCACTTTAAAAAATCTACCTTTCAATATCAGTTCTCAAGAAATGACAAGAAGTACATTTTAAAAGCCCCCTTTTAATACAAATGTATATTCTCACTATGGAGTAAAGCTTACTATGAACCCGATCTGGTGTGAATGTGATGAAAAGGAGGAAGGTAAGGGTGTGGCAGTCCGTATTGGACGGCATTGTGGTCACAGTCGTGAGAGGGGCTTGTTCGATGCTCTGTGCTTGAATACCACTGGGCTGTTGGATTGAACCGAGCTCAGTGCTGTGTTGCGTTCTGTCTGACCTGACGGGGCTCTGGGCTTGGAGATCCTCGCTGCTCTGCTGTGTCTCCTGTCTCCTTCCTGTGTTAACGGTGGCAATGGCAGTGCCCGTTCTGTTCGAAGTGTTGCGAATGAGATTGCTGGACACATGATGCCCTACGGGTGATCATAACCTGACCAGAAAGCCTGTGTGTGAGCCAGCTACTGGATATGCATTTGCCACAAACGTTAAGATGCGGTGTCAGACCCGAGCTGCTGAGAGAAGCTTTGTTCCCAGCTCCCTGCTCAGTGATGATTTTATGTTCCCAATAAAGATGGTTTTCCATTTGACACTTGCACTGTTGCTAACAATGCCTGCTGTCACATAACTGCTTGTCTGATGTGTGAATGGTAATAAGCTTGCAGTGGTAGCAGTGGCAGGTGTGAAATATTTTTTTTTTTTTGCACGGGGAAGGAAAGCGTTTTTGCCAAATTATCCACTCGGTGGCGAGTGACCGGACTGAAGGCAGTTCACAGGTGGAGCTCGGATAGAGCATCCCGGCCGGAAAGCAGAAGGAATATGCTGTTCCAAGATGAGGGGGGGGCGCCTGCTGTCTTTCGTAGCCCTGCAGTATAAGGAGAAGGATCGCAGCCCACACGCTGACACACGAAAGAGACTCAGTGGAAGGTCGCTCTCTACCCTGGTGTACGTGTGTATAAACTGTACTTCAGTTTGAATTCAGAAGAGGCACTCAGGCAAGTCAGGCTGTAAGCCCTGATGTTTTATTTATCAATTCAATATAGGACTGAGAAGCTGTTCGCACTGCATTAAAAAAGTCTTTTACCAGGTTAAAATTGACAAAAGGATTGTTTCTGAATTCACAGCATGTTCCTTTAGCGTTTCAGGACCAGACTTTAATTACTCTGCGTGTTTTTTTTATTCAGCAGAGTTCGTGATTCACCTGAAGGGAGGATGTGACTGTACAAGCGGCTGTCTCTCGTGCCCCCCCCACCCCCCACCCCCCATCCTTTCTCCTCCTCCTCCTCCTCCTCCATCCTCCCCATTTCAGACAATTACCCAGGCTGCAGGATAAAAGCTGCCACCTCAGGCTTTTGACATAACCATGCCGGCATCAATCTGCCAGAGCAAATGACACTTTAGAAATTTTAATAACTCTGCGCAAGCCGGGGAAAAAAAAAAAAAGGCTAAGTGCATTAGCGCACATTACCGCGCGCGGATCCTCCGCCCCCACACGCTCTGTACGCCTCTTTCCCTCTTTCCCTTTCTCCCGCTGTCTCCAAGTGATACCTGCATGTTGTTCGGAATAAGGCCTCCCCTTGACTATGCCCCCTCAGCTCTCGGCTCCTCTGTCTCCGTCAGTCCAGCAGGGCTCAAGGTGTGAGCACATACATAAGAGCACAAGACGGGTCACAAACGAGAGGAGCCATTCAACCCATCTGGCCTGTTCAGTAGCAGCTAATTGATCCGAGGGGCTCGTCCAGCTGTTTCCTGAACAAAGTGGGGCTGGGCTTGTTCCCTACTCCCGCTACCCTTTGGGTAAAGTCTCAGCTTTAAATATCCTCTGGTTCGTGTTTCAGTATTGACAAACAGGTTCTGTCACCCTGTCAATGTTGACTATTCCCTTAAGACCTGGGACTTAAACTTAAGTGCTGTCTAGTTGCTCTTCTTTTCTGTGAGACGTAAATTGCACACGATATCATAAATGAGGACTTACTAGTGTTTTACACAATTTTAACATGGCACCCCTTCAGTTACATTCTGCACTTTTCACTATATATGCTAACAGTGTTTGCTTTATTAATTTTTACTACATTGTCAAGAGGATGTAAGCAGTGACACACTTAGAGATTTAAAGTAGACTTTAAAACTTTAAGACTTAAAGTAAGTCATAAGTAGCCTCTTCTAGATCAGCGTTTCCCATTTTGTATTTCTACTGTGTGTGTACTGCCTGCATGCAGACCAGATCATCAGAGAGCGTGTGTAGAAAAGTCAGGCCTTGGTGGGGTGTAACACTGGCTGCTCAGCGCCAATGGGTTGTGGTTTTGGGTCGGTAAAGTAAGTAGGATCTGGCTATGGAAGGGAAAGGATCCCATTACAGTGATTGGAGAGAGTAAAGAGGCTTACCTGAATTTGTTCAATCAGAGGCAGGAATATTGTCTTCCGTTTTGGTGATTTAATAAATAGTAGTGCTTCCAGGTTACTTCCTGATTGAAAAGGCTTTGCCATTTGTAGAAGAATTGAAGGAGCTCGGATTGTCCAGTCTTGAACACAGGTGATGATGTCTTGAAAATCCAAGAAGGAGTACTTCAGAGTCAACAAGGAAATGTGGGCTGTGGGACAGCATTGCAAATTAAGACGTGACCTGTTCAGAGCCAAGTTTACAATCTGAGTTTGTAAGTTTGACAGTAACTTACACTTGGATTCACTTGTTGTAATCTCAGATAAGGCCAGGATAGGTCTGTAACACAGACAACAGCCAAGACTCACAGCATTCACCAACCCTGAATCAGGATAGCTGATCAGGAAATCACTGGTGAGGGGTCCTCTGTTTTTTGTCCTAAAAGCAAAGTTCTAGGATCCAGTGGATGTGGATCTCCTAGGCCTTGATTTCTCACCTTCCCACATTGGGAAGCTTATTATCACTAATGCAGGTTTAAAGAGAACTGGCAAGAAACAGAAGCCTGCTGGGGGCTTTGTCTGAAAAGCACCACTGTTCACTGCCCGGGAGTGTGGAGGAGGCACGCGCAGTTCCCGATGGCCCAGTGTGAACTTAATAGTCAGTCATGTTTCAATTAAGAACCTTCCCTCCTGCAGTTTAGTCTTTACTTGCCTGACTGTTCCTGGCCCCAGGTGAGCACAGTAGCCTTTATCTGTCTCTCCCTGCAGGTACCTACCTGACGCATGTCCTTACCTGTTGGCAAAAGTGCACCGCTCATTTCTGCATTGGGTACGTAGAGGGACACCCCTCCTTACCTGTCTGCCTCTGTTGAGTGTTGAGAGGCATGGTCCTCACGGTGGACAGTTTATAACTGTCGCACAGAACCCAGGCAAATGGGCCGTTTTTATTTTAAAAACAGGATGCCATTACTTAGGTTTACAACCACTCTCTTTCAATGTGTGCCTGATTTCTGTACCTGTTGCCAGATGTATACTCTGTGTGCCCTTGAATGAATAAATAACCATTACTCTGTACCTGTGCTGGGGTATCTAGGAGATCACTCTGTACTTGCTCATTAACAGCCCTCTCTGTGCTTGGGCCCTGGTGTGGAAGACTCTGCGCCCAGCGAGGGAGTTCCCATCATGCCTCTGGACAGAGGAGACGCTGACTGTCTGCAGTCCCAGACGCAGAGATCCTTGGTGAGCCTCCCCGCTCTCACGGTCTGTATTAGGTGGACATTATTAATGAGGCAGCTTCTGGCCCAGTTGGACTCGAGGTTATCCACTGCCACTAGGTCTCACAGGTTCCACTAGTGGTGGTCGAATTCTCTTTCTGACGTTGGGTTGTAAACCATTGTTAATAAGATATATATGCCCTTTTCTACAAAGTCTACAATATCTGTAGCCCCACACAAAGATTACCGGCGCCTCCAAAGTAGTTAATTCATTAGGAATTCAAAGCGATGCAGTTAACAGACTTTAGATATTGTGTTCCTGCAGTGTCTGCCACCTCTGTAGAGCTACAGATCCAGATATCAGGGACACCTGGTGCTTTCATTTAACGAGCTCGTTAGAGCATCTTGAAAGGCTGTTCGCACCGCAGCTCAAAGGTTGGCACCCCTCCACCCCTGGCAGAGAAGAGGGGGTTGGCATGCTGTTTTGCCTGGCATGCAGAGCCCTTTCCAGGGTTTCCACACGCACGATTGGTGGGGCGGGGTGGGCAGGGGCTGACTGTCGGCTCTGATTTATTTCACAGAGCCAGCACAGACAGGAAGAGAAGCCGACAGTCTGAAATCTCCGCCCGCTGTCTGAAATGGTGCGTTGCGGGCAAAAGCCCTGCAGATGAACGGATTATGTTGTGCGAGGGGTTTGCACGGGGTGGTGGGCATTGCGCTTGTTTTCAGATAGGAAAACGTTTCAGAGCTTTCAGCCAGCAGGGGTGTTTGTTAGCGGTGTCATGTCTTTTGGTGTGGTACACAGGTTCACGTTGTAGTTCTCTTCTCAGGCTAAAGGCTTAAAGGCTATAAAGGCTTAAAATGCAGGGACAGTTCTCAGTTGGCTGTTCAGCAGAGCTTGCAACAGAGATCAAACTTGCTTTGTTTGTGTTATAAAATAAAATAAAAAATCACAAAAAGCCAAAAACCAGAGGCAGCTGGAAAAGCTCAGGTTTTGCCAGCGTAAAAAGAAGTAATTTAGATTTTTGGCTTGTGTTCTGACTGAGCTGCAGTTTATGGTGTGGATGCTAATTATTGTCCTGAAACTGAAAATCAAGTCAAAGATTAGTGTACTGAACAACTGCAGGAGGCTCATGAGCTCTGAGCTCATTTTCTACAGATTGGGAAAAACAGTTATCTGTTCCATAACGTATGATAAAAACAGTCTGGAGCGTAAAGGACAGAGTTTTTATTACAGGCAGCATAGGAATATAAGAAGTGCTGAATGGATTCCTCTCATTTGTCACCTACAGTATCTATAATTTGGTAGTTAGCAGTGAATTGATACAAAGATCTCATTCAGCCTGGGTACCTGCTGGGAGGTTTGTTCCAGACTTCCACAGCCCTTGATTCTCGTTATTTGTTCATAAGAGGTCTAAGCAGTGCTAGTACTGGGATGGGAGACCTCTAAGGAAAGCTAGCTTGCTTTAAGGGCTAAAAATGTAACAAGGCTGTGCTTGAAAACACAACAAGGCTTGCTGACGTTATCTGACCACTGTAAATTGGCCTAACGTGCGTGATTGCTGATTCCAAATGGGCTGCAGAATATCGATTGAGTGTCTTAGGAGCAAAAGGAGAAGTTAAGAAAAGGACCATCTGTGGAGTGCTGGTATACCTGCTCTTGTCTCGTACACGTCTACAGAGCACACATGCTGCTCAGGCCTTTAGGTGAGATCCACAGCCCTCCAGTGGTCACTATACAGCCCCGCAGGAGCATTTGTGGAAGAAAATAAGAAATGGAAAGCAATAAAATAAAGCAGTTTAGAAATTGCACAGACATTTTGGAAATCGTCCAGTTTGGAAATACCATCATGCGTATATTTTTTTTATCGTCCCCAGAAGCCTCGTGAAGTCAATAAACTGAGGTGATGTTGAAAAACACTATAAAGTTTTCAGGTTTTTATGAAGATTCAGGGAGGTGTGGACCTTGATTCTTCTACCTTGTGTAACAAGGGCTGCACAATTCACATTTTGCTAATAAGAAGAACGTATTGGGTACAGCCCAGAGGAATCCATTTGGCCAGTTTTGCTCCTTCGGCTGCTTGTAAGTGCCATAATTGATCCAAGGATTCAACTAAATTTACGGCCGTGCATCACAAGCATCCTTTAGTGCCCTGGGAGGAGTAGGGCTGGGAATCGTGGTGCTTTCCAATCCGGCAGTGACAACTGTGGCCAGTATCCTGCAAGCTGCAGTGATGTAAGTGCACCTCTGCTTGGGTTGTGTCAAAAGGTGACTGGCTCTGAGGCGTGCTGGAGGAGCATGTACACAGGCCTCGTTCTTGCCGAGACTAGAAGCAGTGAAGGGTTGTTGTGTCACTTTGTGAGCGCGAGTTCTAATGTGGACTGAGCATGGTTTTAAAGCTCTGGTGTGTCAGTTGAGCACCAGAGATCTACCCAATCAAGCAGATTCAAGATGATTCACCATCATCTTCACCCTGAGGGTGAAATTTATCAGCTGGCCCATGTCCGATCTCGGTTGATGGTTTCAAGCACTTAAGATTTTAAGAAAACTCCAGGCGTGCTGCAAACTTTGGCTCAAATGCAGTGCACACAGCTTCAGCTCCCAAAAGGTGTTTCTGCTTCGTGAAACCTAGAACTCCCTGGCCTGTTTGATTGTACAAACCTCTTATCCCCGGCATGAAGTGCATCTGATGTTGTTTTATTTCCCTTTCTAGGGAGATTCTGAATGATTTGCTGTAATGGACCATAAGAAATGCATTCCGGATGCAAAAATCCATCGTCTGACATTGTAGGCTTCCCCAGTGTCGCTAGGTGCTCGACCGAGTTCTGACGTGGAGGGAGACCTCTGCCGTTTCCCCATTCCTGTTCCATTTCTCTCCGGCTGTGCTCAGGTCTTCTGGGGCCTGAAGATCAAGAAGAAGCTGAAGGCCGTTCCGTTCTTGGGGAAGGTCCGACCGACAGTGGGGCTGTGCTGCCACCAGTGCACCCCTGACAGCCTGGTGAGACTGGGAGGAGGGGGAGGGTGGAGGAAGAGGATCCGAGGGGGAAGGGCAGGGAGGGAGGCAGTTGACGTCTGTGGACAGTTCAGGTCTTGCAATGAGCTTCTAGACTCTTGCTTTTATTCTTCAGACCTGATGATGGAGTTACTCTCTTAAACAGGCCTCTCATTTGAGGACGGGCTGATCTCTTCTGTTTAACTGAGAGCGTTCTGTACAGCACGCATCTCTGCTGTGTTACAGGGCTTGAAGCTCCTGCGGTCATCCCCCTTCCTGGGCTTTAGGAACATCCTCTGCGTGAACGAGAGTCTCACCAGGTACGAAGAGTCCGAAGATGGCCCAGTACAACCAGAACCATTTGCTTTTCTGTGGAGCTCATGGACAGGTATTCGCAGTGCGGCGACCCTCTCCCTCACTCATTTTCTGCCTCTTCTTTCTCCGTCTCCTCCCTCGTTCCTCTTTCCGGACTCTCTCCCCCAGGTACCGGGGCTGGCTGGTGCGGAGGGTGTGTTGTGTGCTGTTCGTGGGGCAGTGCAGGGTGTACCCCAGCCCTAGAGGAGACCGGGCACCCAGAGTGATCAGCAGCAGCAGGTGAGAGAGCGAGGAAGTTCCAGAACTCGCAGAGCAGACTGGAATAAAACCGATGCCTAGAGCTGCATTGATGTTTAAGAGACGTGACAGGAATGAGAGTAAATCCCCTGACAGAAGCATTTGCATATTGGGAACTTAATGAGTGTCCTGAAATTAAAAGGTTTCAATGTTCTTTCCAAAAGTTGTTTTTTTTTTTCTTTGCCCTGATTGTTTTGTGCTTTTTCAGGGTACAGAAGGCGTTGACCCTAGGAGGGCCAGGAGAGGGCGCTGTGGCCAGCGATGGCAGCTCTGCTGGTCTGCTGGAGTGTGGAGAGGCCAGGAGGAGGCAGGCTGAGCACATGCTGGCCACGGTCAACACCTCCATCTGCCCATGGCTGTTACGGTGTGTGTATCGGGGAGTTTGAATTTGTGTGTGG